CCGGTTCTCCCAGATTAGAGTCCGCACACTTAACCACTACACCAAACTGGCTCTCAAACTGGCTTAGAGGGAACAGTGGTTCGCTGACATATTGTGTTAGGGCTGGCCATGAAACTCAGTATTTAACATATTGTAAGAGGCAAAAAGAGAGAAAAAGAAAGGGGGACGGAGATCCGGAAAGAGCAAAGCTGGACAGGTCCATGAAAATGAAATACTTCCACTGGGGGCTGGCTATTCAAATTGGCCATCTGGTCTCCCTGGCTGGAATCTGCTGCTTAATCGCTTTTTAACGTCCCTCGGTTATTGCGCAACGAGTCTCTGGTTCCTTTACCCCTTTTCTTTGTCTTGGCTGTTCCCCCACCCCCGCCTGAATGAGTCCTTCCTCTTTTAATTCCCCCCCTTTCTTTATTCCGCCCCCCCCTCGCAGAAAACTCTTTCTGAGAATAAAATGTGTGTCTTTTAGGAGAAGCACCATTTAAGAGCATAAAGTGCATTCCTTTCAAGGGCCAGCGGTGGGAAACTGAAAGTTGTGTTAGATGTGGGCCTATGTTCATTTTTTAAAAAATCACATTATAATCCATCTCTTCCTTCAGAAAGCTCAAAGACGGGACATAAAAATCCCTCCATTTTATCCAATGTGAAGTTGGTTAGATAGTCAACTGGCCCAAGGCAAACTAGTGAATACCAATGGCTAATAGGGTTGCCAAGTGAATTTGTCTTACCGGTGGGGAAGCCTCGGCGGGCTCCGGGAGCCGTCCCTTGATGTGCGCGCGCGCCGCCAGCACATCACCGGAAGTGACGTGCGACATCGATCACGTTGAAGGCGTGGCCCCGATCATCAGAGGGAAAACCATAGAGTTTTCCCTCCGACGATCGGGGCCATGCCCCCAACGTGATTGACGCTACACTGCGCTTTGGGGGCCCATTCCACAGCGGCAGAAATCGGGCCTCCAAAGTGGGGATTTATCCGGGCCCACTTGGCAGCCCTAATGGCTAATCAAGTTTTTGAATGAGGTTTCCAACCCCCAGGTGGGGCCTGGAGATCTCCCACTATGACAATCCACTTCCAGATGACAGAGATCAGTTCCCCTGGAGAAAAGGGCTGCTTCGGAGAGGAGACGCTATGGCACTGTACCATGCTGAGGTCCCTCCTGTCCCGAAACCCCCGCCTCTCCAGGCTCCACCCTCAAAATCTCTAGGTATTTCACAACACAGAAATGGCAACCCTAATTTGAACCCAGCCCTCCCCTGTCAAAACACCCAAACACTTGATCAGCGATAGGAAATTGACTTTCCCACTGATAATTAACCCACCGTGTAAACATCAAGTACCGGCCTCAGTTCCCTGCATTTAAAGTGTTGTACGAATGAAAAGTTATAAACATTAAAATGCTGTAAGGCCTCCGCCAATCATTTCCACCTGGTCCATAAAACATTTGGCTATAAACTAATGAAATACCTCACAAGGTTGCCAGAAAAATCTCCAGATTCTCTCCATTTCATCTAAAGAAAGAACTATTTTGTCCTTCTAGCTGATGCTGCCTATACTGAATCAGACCTTTTAGTCCATCAAAGTCAGCATCCCTTATTCAGACCCGCAGCAGCTGGCCAGGATCTCAGGGAAAGGTTCTTTCACATCACCTACTGCCTGTGCCTTTTAACTGGAGATGCCAGGGGACTTTCTGCATGAAAAGGCTCTTCCACTGAGCCTTCCCCCACTTTCTCAGAAGAAAGTCCCTGGCAAGTCTGTCGGCCTTTCTCAGGAATCTGCTCTGGTACAGGGCCGACTTCCTGCAATAGACGTGGGGGGAGAACGAGGAACCTTTGGGTCTCACCCACCCGTATCCTCTGCATCCCAGAAAACTGAACAAATAAATCTCATTTCTCTTTCGCTTTCACAAACAGCACAGCAAGATGTGTGTGCCCCACAGAAATTCCCAAGTTCTCCATAGAGCCTTCCCTACCACAAGAAATAAAGTGACCAACCTCCAGGTGGGACATGGCCATGGCGTTCTCCCGGAACTACAGCTGATCCGCAGACCTGACAGGGGTCGGTTCCTCTGGAGGAAAGGGCAGCATTGGAGGGCGGGCTCTTTTGCAATGTTCCCTCTAAGCTGTGGAGTCCTGTGAGCCAAAACTCTGTTTTGTGAGCGACTGGCATTAAAGTTGTGAGAGCGATTTGGCTGCTGCATAAATTAGTTTGCTCTGGAGCCATCCTTCCTGAGCAAAGACAACGATGTGTGAGCCGGAGGCTAAAAAACGGTGAGCTAGCTCACACTAACTCAGCTTAGAGGGAACACTGGTTCTTTGGCATCGTATCCCGCTGAGCTCCCTCCCTTCCACAGACTCCACCCTCCCCAGGCACTGTCCCCAAATCTACCAGAATTTCCCAAGCCGGAGCTGCTGGCAACACTCCATGAGTCTGGTATAGGGTTGCCAGCTTCCAGGAGGGACCTGGAGATCTCCCACTATTACCATGGACGTCCAGATGACAGAGACCAGTTCCCCTGGAGAAAATGGCTGAGGGTGGACTCTGTGGCCTTGTACCCCACTGAGGTCCTTCTCCCTCCCCAAACCCTCCCCTCCCCAGGCTCCATCCCCCAAGTCTTCAGGTATTTCCCAAGCCAGAGTTGGCAATCCTAGAGAGTCGGTGTGGTGTTGTGGTGAGGAGCAGAGGGCTCTGATCTGGAGAGCTGGTTCCCCACTCCTTCTCCACGTGAAGCCCGCCGGGTGACCTTGGGCCCACTGCAGTTCTCTCAGAGCTCTCCAGCCCCACCTACCTCACAAGGTGCTTGTTGTTGGGGAGATGAAAGGAAAGTGATTGTAAGCCGCTTTGAGACTCCTTAGGGTACAGAAAAGCAGGGTATTAAAAAAAACAAAAACCCCTCTTATTATTTTTCTTGGGGTCACCTTTCCCACTGCACTAACAACAGCAACCAAAAAGAGTGGCCCAGCTCTGTGAAGAGGAGGGAATGCTTTGAAAGTTTAGAGGAAACAGCATCGCATATGCATGGCCTGCCATGCTGCTTTCCAAGAGGCTTGGAAGAGAGGTCCAGGAGGACAGCTGCTGAGTCTTGCAGCGGAAGTCAGCAAGCCCATGCAGTTCCCAACCTTCAGCTGAGGGTGTTGCCCCTTTAACATGACGGCCTCCACTGAACTCAACGAGACTTGCTTCTGAGTAGACCTGCAGGGGCTCAGTCTGCATGTAGATTGCTTTATGGCTCTTGGAACTTATAATGCCGGAGCAATTGGTTGAACATCAATTGGACTGAGTAAACATGGTTAGAATCCTGCACTCCCAGGCTCTTATGCATTCCCACAATAATTTAGGACGGTGACACATCAACGGGCATGATCCAGCCAAAAGTTCAGTACTTTTAAATCCTGTTCGTTTCTATAGGGGAAGATATTTCAGTCCCTGCTTAACTTTTCTGCCCCTGAAACCCGAGGGACTGAATAGTGCAAAAGCTTTGCCCTGGATTGCATCCTTCGTGATTTGCGGATGAGTCGCGTAAAAGCTAGCCTGCTTTTTCACCAACCCCAGCTGTTAAAAAGAAAAGAAAAGAAAATTACCACTGCCCAATGGGCAGCAAGATAAAAAACAGTCCAGTGGCACCTTAAAGACTAACAAAACATATCTCAGCTCAAGCTTTCACGGTGCCTCTGATGAAGTGAGCTCCAACACACAAAAATGTATGCTGGGATAAATTTTGTTAGTCTTTAAACTAGATTTGAGTCCAGTAGCACCTCAGAGACCAACAAGATTTTCAAGGTATATCAGCTTTCAAGACTGTAGTGTATCAAGCCTGACAAGTCCAGACTTGCCCAGGGACAAACGCAGAGCTTCATGACTAAAGACAATGGAGTAAGAGGATCCTAGCCCCGCCAATCGGGAGGCTAGGTTCCTGGCCGAGTAGCCTATGGGACTCTTGGCCACTGTAAATAACCTATTGGGAAGTGGGGGGGTGTTTTGGGTGGCGGTTTCTCGGGGGATATAAGCCGGCCTGCGAGCCGGCCAAGGTGTCTTGTTCCTGACTGAATAAAGTACGCTTTGCTGAATCACTCTCCGTCTGCGTACTCTTCAGAGACTCAAAGTTCCCTTCGTCAGATAGTGTCCCGCAATCTTATGAGCCGATATGACACTGGAATCGAATCTAGCTGTTCTACTGCAGACCGGCACAACGATGCTCTGGAACTGTTAGTCCTGAAGGTATCACTAGACTCTGGCTATATCTTCTTACAATCCCGTCTTTCCCATCCCTATCCCTCCCTTTCTCTGAGGAGCTCAGGACCCTTTGTGCATGGCTCTCCTCTTTTCCATTTTATCCTCACAGCACCCCTGTGAGGTAGATGAGACAGAGAGAGAAAGAGAGAGAAACTGGCCCGAGGTCACCCGGCGAGCATCACATCAAAGTGTTATCTGAATCTGATCACTACACCACACTGACTCATTTCCCATTATGACTTTGATACCTTGTCTCTCTTTTCCTTTCTGAAACTAACATGAAACCACTGATGGTAGAAGAAGAGTTGGTTTTATACCCTGCCCTTCACTACTCGAAGGAGTCTGGGAGCAGCTTACAATCACCTCCCCTTCCTCTCCCCACAACAGACACCCTGTGAGGTAGGTGGGGCTGAGAGAGCTCTGAGAGAATTGTGACCAGCCCAAGGTCGCCCAGCTGGCTGCATGTGAAGGAGTGGGGAATCGAACCTGGTTCTCCAGATTAGAGTCCTGCCTCTCTTAACCACTACACCAGACTGGCTCTCTAGCAAAAATGTGTCAAACGACTCAAAGAGAATTTCTTCATCTTTCCCTCCCACACAGACACCCCCATGCTCATGAACTCAACAACATAATAAACAAATATAACAAAGAAGATGGGCCAAGGCAAATGCATACTCTGTCCTGTTTGTTTTCCAGCACATTTGTTATTAAATAATGCGGGTTTCCTCCCAACACTGACCCCCTGAACCTCACAGCTCGGAAGCCAGAGACCTACCTTGGTGAGAACGAAGGGCCCACTGTTTCTATCCATCGTTGCTCCTAGTAACTGCGGCCACTTCCTTTATCATCATCAACTCTCACTCTGGTACAGCTTGGTTGTGCAAAGTCTGAGTGTGCCAGGAACTTTCTCAAGACAGACGCATCCGCTCATTGCATTCTCCAAAAAGTATTCAGAGGGCTGAAGGAAAAAAACGATAAAGGGAGTTTCTAGGGCAGCCAACGCATGCCTAGGTAGCCGAGGTCAACATTCAGAGAAGGCTTTGGGGTTGCAAAGAAGCAGAATCCTCCTGCCTGGTCGAAGCCTTTCTGCAGACCGCCAGACACAGGAAAAAAATAAAAGAGACACTTTTTGCTTTGCTTCATCTTCCTGTAGTTCCTATTTTAGACAGCTGATAGGAAGAAGGGCACAACTCTCTAGCTGCAGGCTTCTTGCAAGAGCGTGGAATATGGCTGGCTTTTAAAAATGTGGAGACTGCTTAAAAAGAAGAGCAGCTTGTGGCCGTTGATCAAGCTGGGCAATCTTTTCTGCATTGTGGACCGTGCTGGATGGGTCAGGCAATGGGGGATACAACCAGTGTTCCCTCTAAGCTGAGTTAGTGTGAGCTAGCTCACAGTTTTTTAGCCTCTAGCTCACACATTTTCGTCTTCGTTCAGGAACGATGGCTCCAGAGCAAACTAGTTTATCCAGCAGCCAAATCTCTTGCTCACAACTTTAATGCCAGTAGCTCACAAAGTAGAATTTTTGCTCACAAGACTCCACAGCTTAGAGGGAATATTGGATACAACCCAGCTTCTATGGATGATTGTTGAACGCCAGTGTTTGCATTTATTTGCACTTATCTGATTGGTGAATGACAGCATTTGCATTTATCTGGCTGCCCTTCAGCAAGCCCACTCCTGGGACAGCAAGAAATGAATATGTATTTATGCTATGCTTTTCTCCCCAGTGAGGACCCAAAGTGTCTTACCACATCATTCTCCCCCTCCTCCATTTTATCTTCTGAACAACGATCCTATACGGGAGGTGAGACTGCGAGACAGTGTAACAGGCCCAAGATCACCCCCAAAACTTCCATCTTCCAGATCCTGGTCCCAGCACTCAACCACCACACCATACTCCACAAAATCATCAATAAAATATAGGTTTGTCAACCTCCAGGTGGTAACTGGAGATCTCTGCCGATTACAACTGTTCTCCAGGGGACAGAGATCAGTTGTAATCCCGGAGAAAACGGCCATTTTGGAAGGTGGACTCCATGCCAAGCTCCGCCCTCCTCAGGCTCCACCCCCCCCAAAGCTCCAGGTATTTCCCAACCCAAAGCTGGCAACCCTAATAAAATGCCAAATGCCAAAGACACCACCACAGTGGAGCTGAGAAGCTGTAAGGCGGGGGTCCCTAACCCTTTTCAGCCTGTGGGCACCTTTGGAATTCCGAGGGAAGTTCCACCCCAAAAAGGCTGCCACAGGAAGTGCAGCCAAACCCCAAAGAGCCGCCTCAGGAGCCACAGCCAAATAGAATTCCTCCCTCTGTAGGAAGTCAAATACTGTGTGGTGTCTCTTGCCTCGGACCACAGAGGAAGACTGCAATAGATTCAGAGAGATAAGACAGGCTAGGACAGTAAACATCCCCTGCTTCTTTCTCTGATACTATCCCTTTGAAATGCAGATTGCTACTCATAGGGAAAGTTTCCTTCTTTCCGGCTTCTCCCTCTCTCCCCGCACAATGCCATGCTTCTCCATCTTGCCAACATGAAAGCAGGACATCTTTTCTGCATCTCCATCTGTTATGTACTGATGGAGCTCGGGTCTGAGCGAAGGCTCCAAAGGCCGTCAAGACTATTGGTTTTGTTGCCAGTAACAGAAAATCATGTTTGTTGCTTATTACCCAATAACCACACTGTTAATAGTTTGGTGTAGTAGTTAAGTGCGCAGACTCTAATCTGGGAGAACCATGTTTGATTCCCCACTCCTCCACTTGCAGCTGCTGGATGATCTTGGGCAAGCCATAGTTCTGTCAGAGCTATCCTGAAAGGGCAACACTTGAAAGATCGCTCTCAGCCCCACCTACCTCACAGGGTGTCTGTTGTGGGGAAGGGAAGGGAAGGAAAAGGAGTATGTAAGCCTCTCTGAGACTCTGAGTGAAGGGTGGGATATTAATTAACATCTGATGCAAGTAGACGAATGGGTACCTACCCTTAGAAGGGTAGGGGGCACCCACCTCTGACGAAAAAGGCATGGTGGTAATACGAACGGTATGGCAGATGGCGACGGACAACGGCGAGCTGGCGAGCTGGATAACGGTGCAACATCAGCGATGGCGGCGTCAGGTGCTGGCAGAACGGAGCAGAGCGGAGTGAGGCAGAGCGATCCCTGGTGGCCAAGAGGAACATCGAAGCAACAGCAGGCGGCTACGGCAGGATCCTGAGGCGCACGACGAATGATGCAGGCAAGGCGGTGCCTGATGGACGAAGCCGGCCGGAAGCGCTCAGAAAGCCGTGCGCCTGTGCGGAGCTATCGTGGTTGCCAGAAAAAGGGAGTGTCGGGAGCCTGGAAGGGACGCCGCGCCGGCCCAGCAGCCGAGAAAGAACTGGATCGATCTAGCCGCCAAGGAAATAGACGCCGAGCCGAGCCAAGGAAGCAGAAGAAAGAGTATATACAGAGGTCATTTCGGGGGGGAACGCGGGTGAGGGGCGGGGGCGGGGCATATGACGAAGCCCCGCCCCCTGCTTCCGGCCGCCCCGCGTCCAGCCCTCATTCAGCCAGGAGGAGGCAGGAGAAGAGGGAGGGTAAGTTGCTTCCTCCCTGCCTCTCCCCACCCCTGCCTGCCTAGGGCCGAGGAAAAAATGGAGAATATACCACGGGGGGTGCCGGTAGGACAGCCCCCCCCCAATCCTAGTTGTGGCCCAAGACAGGGAATAATCAGTTCTTAGAACGAAAAATGTGAACCGCCCAGAGACCCCTTCGGGGGTTAGGGCGGTATAGTAAATCTAAGGTAATAAATAATAAATAAATAATAATAAATAATTCAATCGCTTCTTCTCTTCTTCTTCTATATAGTTCATGCAAATGAAGGATTCTAGCTGCCTACTTGGTATTGGTTGTTGTTTAAGGTAGGTGTGGTTTTTACAAGTATAAATTGGTTCCTGTGTCTTTAGTTCAGAAGTTCAATAAAGGCCCCGGTCACATGAGCGGGAAAATCCACACTGGAAGAGAGGCATTTTAGAGGCGGAGCTAAAAGAAGCACGGGAGTGCGATCTTACGGTCCCCCATGGCTTTGTCCTCAGGCCGTCGGCAGCCGATCACACCAGGGAGGAAACAGTGTAGTCCCAGCGAGGCAACATGGCAGTACTGCGTCACTGCGCATGGGTGGGTCACGGACAGCTGCTGGATGCCACGGGCTACCGGCGCATCTCCGATCAGACGCCCGCCCGTGCTGTGTGTTTACCAGAAGCTACTACCTTTTCCCCAGTGCCTTTTAAATCCGCTTCTTCGGGCCAAAGGTACGGGTTGGAGACGGGTGTGCTACGCTTCCCAGATGTTGTGGTATCATCACGCCCGTTTGATTCACCCTCAATCCATCCCTTTTGCAGGGCAAATCCTCCGCGTGACCAGGACCAAAGAAGCATGTTATTATGAAAAGAGCTGCCTCGTCTCAATACTTAATACCATCCATCTAGTTAGTTAGACTAGAAATATAAAGAGGCTCTGTGTACCTTTGTTTTCTTGCTGGCATGCACACTGAGTGGATGAGCTCTGCTGCGTTAAATCCTTGAGCTCTCTGCTGCCCCACCAATATTTCCCAATATTCTCCTCACACCTCCTGGGACAAGGGAAAACCTGAAGGGAAAATGAAGCCACACACTGCCTAAGGAAGTGGTCCCCAACATTTCTGCGTCTGCAAGCACCTTTGGAGTCCTGACACAGTGTGGTGGTAAGGTAAAGGTAAAGGTTCCCTTGCTCGAAAGCCAGTCGAGTCCGACTCTAGGGATGCGGTGCTTATCTCCGTTTCAAAGCCGAAGAGCCATCGCTGTCCGAAGACGTTTCCATGGTCATGTGGCCGGCATGACTAAACACCAAGGTGCATGGAACACTGTTACCTTCCCACCAAAGTGGTACCTATTTATCTACTTGCAATGTCTTGCTTTCGAACTGCTAGGTTGGCAGGAGCTGGAACTAGAGACGGGAGCTCACTCCGTCATGTGGCACACTCGGGTCTCGAACTGCTGAACTACCGACCTCCCACAGCTTGCAGTTCAGCGTCTTAACCACTTGAGCCACCACAGCTCCTCCAGTGTGGTGGGCACAGCCACAAAAGGGCTGCCCCAGCTTACCTTTTATCACACAGTGAAGATCCTTGTGCTGTGGCGGGCAGCTGCTGGCAAAGAAGCCTTTTTAAAAATTTGCCCAGCCATTCAAATATTCAGTGGCCAATCAGAAGCCCTAATAGGCTTTTGCCACACTTGGCCCCACCCACCTACTAAAAACTCTTGGGCACCAGGAAAGGTGGCAGAAGGCACCGCCTTGGAGACCTTGGACTAAGGAAAGCCCAGGCGCTTATCAGTCCTCCTGATAGTCCAGTGGAAAACACTTTCATTTAAAAGAGAGCCTCTAATAACAACCCTTCACTTACAATAGCCGCACCCACTTTCTGAAAAGCTCAGCAGGTGCCAAGAGAAGTACTGTTAGGCACCATGGAGCCAACAAGCACCGTTTGGGGCAACCCTGCTTTAAGGCAATGTCACCAAGGAGACTAAAACACCCCCTAAAAAAGAACTGATTAGAAATCAAACACAAAAGAAATGGCAGGTCACTCACACACACACACACACACACACACACACACACACACACACACAAATACTCTAAGAGCTTTAAGCAGCTTCACAGCTAGATTTGAGTCCAGCAGTACCTTAAAAATCAACACGTCTTCCAGGGTATAAACTTTTGAAGGTCAAAGCTCCCTTTGGTCCTTTCCGCACTTGGGTCTCATCCCTGGTTTTCTCAGAGTTCAACTCGCAACACAGTACCTTGCATTTATCTCTGGTTGTAACAGCATCCGTTTATCCCT